GCAAGCAAAATTTAAATGAATAAAATAATAATAAATTCTATCCATGTTTCAGGTATACAATGTATACAGATGAGGTAGCAGAAACTGATAGCTGAAAAAATCGACTTCAAACCAATGCTTTCCGTCTTTCTTGACGTCTCTTCACCACTTTGTTGTCTAACATTGCACGAAACACCATCTAAATGTTTCTTGAGCCTATTTTTTGTTGCTGTTGCAATTCTTCTTCTATAATCATTTAAAACTTTTTTTTCCTCCATTCAGTAACGTCTGCTGTTGCTTTTGCCCTCATATTTTTATTCTCTTTTCCTCATCATTTTAAGCTATCAAAGTGTCAAGGAAATCTGTAAATGGAAGAAAACACCATACAGGAGCACTGTGGGTAACCGAATAGGCAAAAAATTATCTACGATCAGAGCAAATCGATGGCAGAATTCTCGAAAAATATCATCAAAATAGAAAGCCCAAATGAGTGATAGTGTTCGTTAATCAGAGAAAAAGAAAAACAAAAGAATGAAAATTTGAACTCTAAGTTACAAATTAATAGAACACCGTTGACAACGAAAACAACAGCAACAGATAGCTCACTAAATCACATCCGTTGATTCATCATTCAGGCTATTCCACCGGTTCACAGGGCGTCGTCTGTACATTCACACAGTGCTCCAACTCAAATCCTTGCAGTCAAGGAACTTGCAACAACGGTTACTGTTGTACTTCAGGATCATCATCGTCACCAATCGTCCGTAAGTTGACGACATATCTTTCACTGTTGTTCCATTTTGTGCCATTTTTTTTTGTTTGTCGTCTGAATGTGTGTGTGGGTTTTTGCTTTTTTTTTTTCATCCTTTACCATCACTAATAAATTCTCAGTGAAAATTAGAAAGAATGAAAAAGTGATAAAATTTTTTCTTACATAATTACTAGTCGAAACAGAAAAAATAGGAGAAAATAAAGTTGTAAAAAATGTAAAAGCGCTTTATAACTTGCATATGAGCCCAATCCATTGAACTTTTTAGAATGATATTTTTATGCTTACAGTTCACCGTATAGATTGACACCAAGATTACTTTTGCTTTTGGTAGAAAAAGAAAGAAAAAACGAACAAAATAAATAATTAATAAAATTAAAATTAAAATAATTAACAAAATTAATAAATTGAAGAAAAGAATAACTTTTTGTCTTACACTATAATGCAGCACAGTAACCAAACTGTCGTTGTTTTTTTTGCTGTTAAAACTATTTGCAAATAACCAAACCACCACTCAAACTGACCTCCTTCGTTTGATGACACAAATCATGCTTTCAACTCCAGCAAATAATATTCTTGCATGATTTCTGATGACAATCATACTGTTTATTGCAAAATTCAACTCCAATCGATTTCCACCTTTATCCTTGTCATTGTTGCTATTGTTATTGTCGAAAACACTAACCATGGTGATAAAAAAAAAATAAGCAAACAAAAATTAAGGGAACAAAAAGATTTAGCATAATTTTTTGCATGGCTTTTCAAGCCCATATCAACATTTCAGAAACAAATTTTCATTCATATAACAAAACATTGTACGCTAAAACAGATGACCTTAAAATGGAATCAAACGATTGGCCAATCGGCCCACCTGGATACGGATTTCCACCAGAACTAGCCAGTCTCGATTCCGTGCTTGTAAAGGCAACCGGTGATGGAAGTACGCATCCACTCTATCTACAATCTACTTAACTATAACTGTCCTATAGTATACAACTATACCCTAGACAATTAAATTTCTTTAAGTTTAGATAACTAAGTGAATAATACTATTGCTTAATTTCTTTTCTAAAGAGAAATAACCGATTTTGAAAATGCAGAAAAAAAAAAAAAACGTTGTCATTTATTTGTTTCGTCAATTGTTTACAAAAGAAAAATATGAAAAAATTGATTTTACCTTCTCGTTCAACCTGACTGAAAAAAATTACCTAAGTGGCTAAGGAAGTGAACGCACAGTATAACTGACCAATTCTTCTGTGGATGCGAAATTCGGCACGTAATAGCAAATCGTCAGTAACATCATAAATTTTAATCAGCAAAGCAAAAGCCATCAATTAAGATCTACAACATGTAATATTTTACGATTAAAACAGTTTACGCTTATTTTGTAAATGTTAATTAGACTCAATGACAATGACGATAATAATGATGGTGATTTTATTCTTGTTCTTAATTCTCTGGATTTTACTGCCAGTCAACTTGGATCCGTCAGAAGCTTTCCGTCTGCTTGTGCTGTGCGCTCAATGAAAATAACGACGAATTTTAAGCACTTGCAAAATAAAAAATGACAATAATCTCAAGAAAGAATTTTGTTAGCGAGTAGTATGTCATGAAGGAAAACAAATTATGAATGAATGATAGCAGGAGCAGCGACGACGAAGTTCTGCTTTCAGGATCTTGTGCCGCTGGCTTCGTATCATCACTGAAATGCAGTGAAACTGGAGAATGTCCACCAGGACTGTTTTGCGATCCATCTTTGTCGCTTTGTTGTCCCTTACTTCTCCCATTTACCGACAAGAGTAACAATGCTGATCATTACTCTCACCCAAAGCGTCTATCGCCAAAAAGCTACGGCTCATATCCAAGTACTAACGCGCTTTTACCATTTTTTGCAGAACGGTTAAATTAATACACTAAAGTAGGAGAAAGTAAGAAGAATAATAAGAAGAATAAAAGATGGGAGGTAAAACAGGCAAAAAAAGAAAAATAAAACCCAACCACAGTCGGTTGAACGAAAAAGAGAAAAGCGTAAGTTTATACAAAATACTGGTGTTCAAGAAGGAAAGGAATAAAATTAGATGCTGTTAATTTTTTTTTGAAATCTTTCAGTCTCTGCCTCTCCTTCTTGTCTGAGCTGTGGTTCATCTTCCGGTGGCCAAGTCATTACAATCCGTAAGTTTCCACTCCGTCCCTATCCATCAACAACCTACTGCCCCATTTCTTCCATATGCCCTTCTCCCTATACTTCTTCCAAGAAACAAGAAAAAAAGAAAGCAATGTCCAGTCTTCCCTTCATTTGGTTTACACAATCAAAGAAAGAGATGCTGACTTTTACAGTATCCAATCCACAATCAAAAATTACACTCTCAAAATTAAATTATAAAAATAAAAAAAGGAATAACAGTAGAAAAATTAAACTAAAATTTCTGAAGCAGTTTTGCTTTAACATTTATTAAGAAACAAGAAATCGCTTTTTCTATTTTTTCATTTTTCTTTCCTGTTAAGGTTCTATTTTTCTTCTCTTTTTTTAAAAATAAATAACGAAATGAAGGCTTCCTCTACCGCAGTTTTCCATCCGATTCCCCTAACAAACTTTTCTACAGAACTTGTCAATATTATTAGCAACAGCGACAACAACAACAAAAAAAGTGTTAATCGGTCAAGGCACTTTTAAACTTTGTGAAGAAAAAAACTAATATCAAAAAGAAAAAAAAAAAAAAAA